CTAAGCTAGAGTTTGGTGTTGGCATGCGAATTGGTATTGGTAATTACCACATTTTCTGTATGGGGGCATTTTTGAAAACGTCGTGTAAGACGGGATTTTGTGAGATTCATGGGTGGAACTATGATTATGCTTCGCAGTGTAGGTCCATGATCATTGAATGATGAATTTCGTACACTATTTGAGAATATACATAAGCCCTGTATTTACTTACTGATGTGCTTCGTCTACAGATTTCAGGCGATGAAAGTAATCATTGCTTTACAATTGATGTTCACAATTTCTCCACTGCCCGTAGAGAGAGCATATTCCGTAATGGTGCACACATCTGTAGGACTTTCAGTTGAACAGGTACGAGTAGGTTTCACTGATTCCCGAACGCTTTCTGAGTCATGAAACTGATCTCGATTTCCCAAACAATGCTATGGTTCCGACCTTGGCCCCCAGGTTCTGTCGAAAAATCACGGAGTGTGCAATGCGTACCTGTTTCAATGATGATCCCTGCAAACGATAGGGTTGTGATGCGGCGCGTGTCGGAGCGCGGCCAATGCGGCCTTTTCCAATAACCTTGCCATCCTGAGCCGGCTACAATTGGTGGCAAATCTGCCCTGGCTGCGCCCCAAGCCGTGCCCCGTCCTACGCCCAATAAGTTGCGGGCATTATGACTGTAGATTATTTCAAGCAACTCGATCATCATGACCGTCCGACGCACACGCTGTGTAGGTTTTTTTACCTGGTCTATGTAGCAGGCATTTGTGCTGAATCCTATCCCACAAGCAATCTTTTTGACTAATTGGAGAGCTAGACTTCTGCGGTTTTATGATCCGGCATTTCCACATTTCTTTCGAAATTTTTCGTTAACGAGAGGTTCAGCTGGTGTCAGAAGACGCGCAGTCGATTTGACCCGCTTAGGCAGCGTTCAAACTTGTCGCGCTTCAACGCGCGTCGATTGTCGCGCTTCAACGCGCGCTGCTGCCCTTGAACACGCTACAATTACACTCCAATTGCCATTTGTACCGGACCCCAACTTTCCTTTACGTTCTTTCTTCCGGTATTTAACCCCATTCACTGTTTCTCCTTTCTAAATACCTGACAATTAGCTCCTCTTTTTCACTTTAATATTGAACTTTAATGTAGTTTTTGATACAGGACTTTGAGATAATGATTTTGTATAAGCTACTTATGTATGTTCGAAAATATGTATAAATAAACGGTATGCAAAATCATTACCACAGTACCCTGTACCAAAAGTACATTAAAATTAAATGTTAAAGTGAAAAAGGGAGATAAGTATCAGTTGGAAATGAGAAACAGTGAAAAGGGGTTGAACACCGGAAGAAAGAACATAAAGGGAAGATGGGTTCTGGTACAATTGGAGGGTAATTGTAGCGGGTTCAAGGGCAGCGTTGAGGCGCGACAAGTCTGAACGCTGCTTTAGCGCAATCGCAGCGCTGTCTCAGAGTTCGTTCATGATTGGCTACTCGAGCTAGCAGCCGTTCATGTTAAGCGGCGGCGAGCGGGTGTTAAGTTTAAGTGTATTACTTGTGCAGAAGGCATAGCTGTGATAAATTCAGAGTATTACTGCATATACAAGTTCCAGTATCAACACCTATGAATATGTAAGACCAAGGGATTCTCAATAACAGTAATTAACCAACTGGTCAATAACGTATCGATCAGTTTCGAGAGAGCTAGACCTGCTGGAAATACGGTGACTGAACTGAGCATGTGACAACGTGGCAGCTATGCTTTTGTCAACTTTGAATACGCGCTGCCAGCCCTGAAGCTCTTTGCACGTAATTAGTCTTGGGTTTTGACAAATAGATCTTCATGGGACCACCTCTAGTGTTCGAATGAACCATTCTGAAGACATTACTGGTAACCAGATCCACGCAAGCCTTTGATAAGAGCCGTCAATAAAAGCCCATGAGCCTTTGATGAGCGGTCTTCCACTGCTAATTGTTGGACCGCTACGACGACTGGTTCAATCACATTCGTGATAAAATATTTTTCAAACTACTGCCGAAACTCTATCGCCAGAATCAACAAAAATCGAAAACTAAATCGAAGAAAAAGTTCAAGGGACTAACGTAAGAAAGTCCTATTGTCGAATGGCTGACAAACTGCACTTCGTAATCACGACGCAACCACGCATCATCGCTCACAACTCCTCAGCTTTTAATCCGTTTCTTTTGGTCATTTAGAAAATTCAGGAGACATAGAAATGACCGTAAAAATAATCTCGTTTCAGTCACTCATGCTGAGTTGGTTGAGTACTTTATTTGTAACCCCATTGACTTTTCTCAGTACTTTTGCCATCGACAAATTTGGACGCAGACCGGTCGTATTCATTGCGGCCACCATCATGTTAGTTCGAAGTTTGCCTATGAAATTTTGAAGCATAATTAGTAATTCAAATGCCACTAATGTATAGAGAAATTTTCTAGCTTTCTCAAAATCCTTATCATGTTCACCGCTCAGCTGCTCGTTTTCTTCATATCCCCGTCATGGATCACGATGATTATGGGTGAGTCTGAACTGCCTGCTTTCACTTCAGAATCGTCCTAAATAATCCTAATAAAAATCCTTGCAAAGAGAAGTTAGCTCCCTCCTTGGGCAGCGTTCAGATTTCGCGATGACAGGACGCTTTTCGCTTTTAGCAGTGGGGCACACCGTCTCCACGTTTCCAAGGTGAAATACCAGTTAGGTAGTAGAACCGAACCAAAGGAGCATTTGAATGAAAAACTCGGAGGTGCAGGTGAAGAAAAGTCCAAGAGGGCTGTATCGATGAGGAAGTGCCTTCCGTTCGATGGCTGCTTCACTTTCCTTGTACTACATAGATAGGACTGTCACACGGAATTGACCATTTCAGAAGACAATCTCAAGCCTGAGTAGTTAATTTTGATCCTAATATACCAAAGTTAAGCACAGTACTAGTAAACAGCCACAA